CACACACACACACACACACACACACACACACACACACACACACACACACACACACACACAGAGTGAAAAGAGAGGCAGAAGGGGGAAGAAGAAAAGAAGAGAAGAAAGAACAAAGCCCCGAGCGCATCAGCTTTTTAGATGAACCATGAAAGCTGAATCGAAACAAGAACAGGCGATAGGTAACCAATTTTAACGAATATCCCGAAAGAGAGACTCCAGCTACCGTCTTCACCCGAATAGAACGCCCGCTCACTATCGTTGTATCTAGACAGACAGCTGCCCCAAATACAACTATAATGAGCGGCCGTTCTATTCGGGTGAAGACGGTAGTCATCGTTCATCCCAGTGTGTCATTGCTACCCTCCTCCCTCATTTCCTCTGTCGCTTCCGCACACGCTCCTCCTCCGGCCATCCAACCGTCGACGATCGCACCCTTTCCAAAGTTTTTATCACTACTTCTACGACTATGTCTAGTTGCGATTTCCATTCTGCCTCCCTCTTCGCCTTCTCTTCTTCCTCTTTCCTCTTCGCCTTCTCTTTTTTTTCCCTCTTTGCTTCTTCTTCCTTCTCTTTCTGCTTTTTGTTCTTATTCCATTTCAGTAACTCTGGTTCCGAGTACACCCCCGCAATGCACCTCCTCCGCGTCGTCCGCTTACCACAACCTACCCTCGTTTCGACCGTATCTGACCGGTAATATCGATTGGATTCGTTAACGATGACGGTGCTCTCTGTTCGGTGAACGACGGTAGGAGTCCAAGGTGTCATCATCGGTGGAGCCCAAGGTGTCATCATCGGTGGAGTCCAAGGTGTCATCATCGGTGGAGTCCAAGGTGTCATCATCTGTGGAGTCCAAGGTGTGATCATCGGTGTTGGGTTGAACCACTGCAGGAATTCATCCTTGCATGGTTAGCGCACTCCCAGCTGTAATGCCCAAATCCGCCGCAGGCATAGCATGTCACGGGAGCTAACGCCATCGTTGCTCGCTCGTGCTAAAAGGCAGCAGCGACGTGCTCCACTTTTCGTTTCTTTTCTTTCTATTTAAAAAAAAAAAAAAAAAAAAAAAAAAAAAAAAAAAAAAAAACTCTAAGGCCGTACTCACACTAGCACCGTCGTAAATGCATCTAACCGGATTTACAGACAGCCGTGGATGTATCTGGACGCAATCAGGTCAAAAGACAAGTAAAAACGTCCTACTGTGAGTATGCCCAAAGTCTTATTCAAACCTTTATTGGTCGCCTGAGGATTCTCGCTCGATCACTATCTGAGCCTTATCCAAACCCTTATCCAGGACTTGGCTCTCCTGACCTTATCCAAACCTTATCCAGACCCTATCCAAACCCTTTTCCAAACCTTATCCAGACCCTTTTCCAACCCCTATCCAGACCCTTATCCAAACCCTTATCCAGGTCTCTGTCATGTACCGACCACGTAAACCTCATCTCTCGCATTACGTCATCCTTCTCTAGGTTCCCTGTCTCAGTGTCTCCCACTTTTCTTCTCTTTTCTTTGGCCGGCCCCTGCTTGTTTCTCTCTTCACGAACAACGAAATCACCGCCTTTCTGCCACGCCATCCGAGTCTTCACTCTCTTGCCACGTCAGCTCACGAAGAGCTATCATGCCGTGTCGACACGACGTGTATCGCTGAGCTCATACTTGTCATCATCTTCCCAATGGATGGATGGATGGATGGACAAGACTCTTCCGCGAATGTTCACACGATTACTCCGACAAAGGTACAAAAAATACCCAGATCGTCGCCGATCTGACACGTCTTCCGAGTCTTGGCTCTCCTGCCACGTCAGCACACGAAGAGCTATGGCCTGTTGACACGTGTATGTCTAGAGCCATGCTTGTCCGTATCTTCCTAATGGATGGATGGATGGATGGATGGATAAGACTCTTCCAGGAAACTTCACACGAACACTCTGAGAAAAGGTACACCAAAAGGTAGATCCGCCCAAGAGATCTCGAAGACAGGAAAAACGGAAAAACAATGGCGATGCTCAAGGTTCCGAACACGACATCAAATTGATAAAAAAAAGAAAAAAAAAGAAAAAAACTGTAAAAAAAAAAAAATGATAAAAAACCATACACAGCTGTGCTGTGCTTTGAACTCAGAGCGCCGACATTCCTCTACGCGTGTGGACCGGCATCGCTCCTGTCGTCATCAGGAAGCAAACCCACTCTCAAGCCTCGCGTCCTCCACCGCATACTCCCATCACTGATGAGTGAAGAGAGAGCCGCCA